GGGGGCCCCCCCGGGGGCCCCCCCGGGGGCCCCCCCGGGGGCCCCCCCGGGGGCCCCCCCCGCGGACTCGCCGGGGGCCCCCGCGGGGGGCCCCCCGGCAGACACGCCGGGGGCCTCCCCAGGGGGCCCCCCTGGGGGGCCCCCAGGGGGCCCCCCGGGGGCCCCCGAGGGGCCCCCTGGGTACTCGGAGGGCCCCTCGGGGGCCCTCAAACGCTGGGCACTGGCAGCCCGGAAGAAGCGGCGAGTTGAAGAGAGAAGAGCTGGCTCGAGGAGGTCGAAGTAGCGCTGCGCACAAACCCTAAACCCTAAACCCTAAACCCTAAACCCTAAACCCTAAACCCTAAAGTTTGAATCCACGCTCTGCAGCCAAAACCCTCGGCTCCAAACCCTAAAACAGAGAATAAAGGGCTTCAAAGCCTCAGCAAGCTTTGGCAAGGACCCCAAACTGAACCCAGGGGGCCCCCCGCTGAGCTCAGGGGGCCCCCAAGGGTCTATTAATCAAACCCCTCAAGGGGCCCCGCCCTCAGCTGCTGCCTCTGGGGGCCCCCGGGGGCCCCTGGGGGCCCCCAGGGGCCCCCGAGGCCTCAAAGGGCCCCCTAGGGCTGCCCCCAGGGGGGCCCCTGGGGCCCCAAGAAGGCCCCACAAAGCAGCTCAAAGAATATCCAAATCTCCCAGACCCCCAGGGGCCCCCCAGGGGCCCCCCGGGGGCCCCCGGGGGCCCCCCAGGGGCCCCCCAGGGGCCCCCAGGGGCCCCCCGGGGGCCCCCCGGGGGCTCCCCAGGGGCCCCCAGGGGCCCCCAGGGGCCCCCGGGGGCCCGCTTGGCGTGTAGATAGAGGTGAGCGTGTGGGGCGTACGTTGAGGTGTATGTACAGGAGGCAAAGGCGCCTGTGGGCTTGCGTTGGTTCTTTTTGGGATTTTCTGTCACTTTCAATTACTTTTAAAAAGGCATTTAAAAGGAGGTTTAGGGTTTGTTGGTGGTTGGTGAAAGCTGCGCTCAAAAGGCGGTCGCAGAGGCCCTGCAGGCCCTGCTGCTGCTGCTGCTGCTGCTGCTGCTGCTGCTGCTGCTGCTGCTGCTGCGCGGCAGCAGCAGCAACGCCGTCAGGCACGCAGCGGCTCAGGTGCACGAACACCTGCTGCACCTCGTGCTGCACGCAAACACCCCAAACCCCAAACCCTAAACCCTAAACCCTAAACCCTAAACCCTAAACCCTGAACCCTGAACCCTAAACCCTAAACCCTAAACCCTCACAGTCGTTTCGCAGTAGTAGTCATAAAGGTCCAGGGCCTCCTGAAGTATCTGCTCAGCATTCGCCACAGCTTGCAGCTCTTGGGGGTCCTCTAGGGGGCCCCCCTGGTCTATTTGTTCTTGCTTGAGGCAAAGGGTTTGAATTGCTGCTGCTGTCTTTTGGACTTTGGAGGTGAGAGCAGCAGAAAGAAATAAAGAAAGTCGAGAAAGGAGGCAGGGGCCCCAGCCATCTTCCACCAGGGTTTCTACGCGCTGCAGCAGCAGCAGCAGCAGAAGCAGCAGCAGCAGCAGCAGCAGCAGCAGCAGCAGCAGCAGCAGCAGCAGAAGCAGCAGAGACGAAAGAGGAGTTGTGGGGGAAGCAACTTAATAGAGGCAGGTGCAGACAGAGCCGCGCGAAAAATCAACCAGACACACACAAAACTCAAACCCTAAACCCTAAACCCTAAACCCTAAACCCTAAACCCTGGAAGAGGGGCACTCGCACCCAAACGAGCGGGCGTTTGAGGCCCAAATATCGTAAGAGACGTTCCAAACACCAAACCCTAAGCCCCAAACCCTAAACCCTAAACCCTAAACCCTAAACCCTAAACCCTAAACCCCAAACCCTAAACCCTAAACCCTAAACCCTAAACCCTAAACCCTAGACAAACCCTCGAGAGAAAGACCCGCCCCTTGAGCGGCCGCCGGTCGAAGACAGCCTCCAAAAACTTCTCAAGTTGTCTCCAAGTCTCCGTCACAAATTCCAGAGACAGCTCCGCCACTTCTGAGAAACAAACCCTAAACCCTAAACCCTAAACCCTAAACCCTAAACCCTAAACCCTAAACCCTGAACCATCCAGAGGAAGCTCTTCGACCACCCAAATCAACTGCAGGGGCCGCTCGGGTGTACATACACCTCATATTGTACCCTCTAGAGCTCTTAGGGCTACCAGGGGGGCCCCCAAGGGGCACCCAAGGGGCCCCTCAGGGGCCCCTCAGGGGCCCCTAGGGGGCCCCCAAGGTGCCCCTAGGGGGCCCCCAAGGGGCCCCTAAGGGGCCCCCAGAGGGTCCCGAAGGGGCCCTCAAGGGGCCCCCTAAAGTGCCCTAAGGGGGCCCCCCAGGGGCCCCTAAAGGACCCTGTTTGCCCGGAAGGGGCCCCCCGGGGGGCCCCCAGGGGCCCCCTTTATGTAGGAGGGGATAAAGGCCTCTCGATAAGAGGCCCCCAGGGGCCCCCTTTGCCCAGGAGGGGCCCCCCATGGGGGGCCCCCTAGAGCGCTGCTGGGGGCCCCCAAGGGGCCTCTCTGGGGGCCCCCCAAGGAGCGCTTCTGGGGGCCCCCCGGGGCCCCCTGGGGGCCCCCGGGGGCCCCCAGGAATTGAGGAATTGCTCACCGTCTTGAGGGAGTTTTAGGTGAATGAAGTCTCCGCAGGGCGGAGACTTAGAGCGGGCTTTCATGAGCTTTGGGGAGGCCTCCGAGTTAGGGTTTAGGGTTTAGGGTTTAGGGTTTAGGGTTTAGGGTTTAGGGCTTGGGGGGTGAAATAAGGAAAAGAGTTCATTCTGCGTTTGAGGGAAAACCATTAGACACTTTCAAACTTCAGAAGATAAAAAAGAAAGCAAATCTTAATTTGCTGCGAGGCGCTTTTGAGGTGTACATACACCCCAGTCACACGCGCATGCAAGGGGCTTTCGGGCGGTCTTCTGCGTTGAACTGCAGCAAATGAATAAAATTAATTAAATTAATTATTTATTATTTTAAATAATTAATTTTAATTCCAAAAATAGTTTTAATTTCTCCGTTTTATTCAGGTGTCACTGCCACGCCCTCAGGCGCCTTCGCCCGCGTCTCAGCTGTCACGACAGCTCAACTATCAGATCGAGCATTTTATTTTATTTATTTTATTTATTTTATTTCTATTTTATTTATTTTATTTATTTTATTTATTTTGTTTATTTTATTTATTAAACGCATTTGGCTCAAGAAGACATCAATTGGGATCCTGAATGCCTTGCGCACAGGGTTTTTGGGCTTAGGGTTTAGGGCTTAGGGTTTAGGGCTTAGGGTTTAGGGTTTAGGGTTTAGGGTTTGGAGCCTACAACCTAAACGCTATACTCCGTAACTTAAGCCTGCAGAGGCCAGTCAAAAGCTCAGTGCTACTTGCGGAGGTCCAGCAATCGTAAACCCTAAACCCTAAACCCTAAACCCTTGCCTTAAAACCCTAGCCTCTGGGCAGTTCTTGAAAACCCGCGGACTTTGCAGCAGCAGTCAACTAGCTAGCAGCGGCTAGCTGCTGCTAGCTGCTGCTACCTGCTGCTAGCTGCTGCTAGCTGCTGCTAGCTGCTGCTAGCTGCTGCTTGCTGCTGCTTGCTGCTGCTAGCTGTTACTAGTTGCTGCTAGCTGCTTCTAGCTGCTGCTGGCTGCTGCTTGCTGCTGCTGGCTGCTGCTAGCTGCTGCAAGCCGCTGCTAGCTGCTGCTTGCTGCTGCTGGCCGTAGCTAGCTACTCTGCGCTTCAGCTAGTCACAGCTATTTAGAGCCAGCTGCAGCTAGCTATGTGCAGACGCAGCTAGCTATGGGCAAACGCAGCTGGCTGTAGCTAGCTCTCGTTCTCTACAGCTAGCCACAGCTAGCCACAGCTAGCCACAGCCAGCCACAGCTAGCCACAGCCAGCCACAGCCAGCCACAGCTAGCCACAGCTAGCCACAGCTAGCCACAGCTAGCCACAGCTAGCCACAGCTAGCCGCAGCTATCTACAGCCAGCTACAGCTAGCTGTACTAAAAGTAGTTTCAAAACAAGATCTCTATAGTTGGAGAAGAGCTCCAAACCCCAAACCTTAAGGCCTCAATCCTTGGAAGTATCCCGTAAACCCTAAACCCTAAGCCCTGAAGCCTACGCCCCAACAGCTAAACCCTAAACCCTAATCCCTAAACCCTAAACCCCACGCCCTGAAGCCAGTCGGGCGGGCAGATAATTTCTTGCTAACTAGAGAACAGCGCCGGGCGTAAACCCTAAACCCTAAACCCTAAACCCCGGCAGGGGCAAAAACAACAAAGAAAAGAACCAAAAATATCTTTTTGTTTTGGTTTTATTTGTTTTTACTCGCTGAGGTGTATATACACCTTAAAAGATGAATAAACTAGAAGAAACTTCATTTATTTATTTTAATGTTTTTCGTTTTTCCACTTTACATGACACGCCGAGGTGTACGTACACCCCAATTCTTGGGTGCATGAGTTTGTGGATTTGAAAACTTCGATTTATTTTCACAAAAGTCCATTTAACTTCAATTAAATTCCTTTACATTCATTTATTTATTTATATTTGAACATTTTTTATGTTATTTCTGCATAAGTTCACATTTATTGTTTTAAATTTACGAACTTGGATATCCACTTGCATGCATGCACCCAGCTGTACATACACCCCAGCCCATAGCTGCAAAACCACACAATTTCAGAAAGTTCATTTCTTTGAGAAAAAGAAATTATATATTTTAAAAGTATTATATATATATATATTCATAGATTTTATTTACATTTAATACATATTATATATTATATATACATTATATGCATATAATTATATATACATCTGTACAATAAGTAGATAAGTGTATAAAACTGTGGGTAATTGTATTTATATATTTATATAAAATACAGTTTTTAAAAAAATTTAAATATATTTTTATATTTATAAAATATATTGTTAAGAAGAATGAAATTTGAAATGTATTTTATATGTTTTTAAAATAATCAGTTAAATAGAACAAAATTTAAAATAT